ACAAACGACCTCACACGTCTAATACACACGAGCTGGTGGGTCTAATATACATTTACAAATGTGGTGATGATATTTATACAATTATTACAATTTTGCATAACAGTAAATCTTCTATTTTTTGGTGTGAATAAAAATTCATTATGTGAATAAGAAATCAAATTGGAATTTATTTGTAAAGCCTCAAAATGTAACTAATGAACAAAGGAAATGTTAGTTTAGTCCCAGGAATACCTACATTGTTTATTCTGGACCCTGTTTTGAAATTGGAATATTTTGAACTTTGTGTTAAATTGGCCAAATTACCAATTTCCAATCACATTATTTTGTAGTTGAAACAGTTGACTTGGCGATTTCTTGTGCTCAATCGATTGAATAGAAGTAATACTAGTGAAATAGCTAAGAATTTGGTCGACTGGAATAATGTAATTGGCCTAAAATGGGAGTCAAAGTCGGCAAAATCGCCGATTCGTAAATATCGCTGACACATCAAAATTTGCGAGAGCATAATTTCGTCAATTTTCCATCAAATTTCGTACTTTTTGTTTTATTACCTTCACAAAAGGATTCTCTACCATTTCATAAGAAAAAATAACAAATTTTTTTTTTGAAAATTCTTGGACACTGGGGCACCACTTCAGATTTTGGTCTTGGACCCTGAAGGGGTTAAAAGCTGCACTATTGGCATACATTATAGTCTTTCTTTCTTTAAACACACCGGCCGTATCCCACCGAGGCGGGGTGGCCCAAAAGGAAAACAAAAGTTTCTCCTTTCACATTTAGTAATGTATACAGGAGAAGGGGTTACTAGCCCCTTGCTCCTGGCATTTTAGTTGCCTCTTACAACACACATGGCTTACGGAGGAAGAATTCTGTTCCACTTCCCCATGGAGATAAGAGGAAATAAACAAGAACTAGGTTGGTAGACAGCAACCACCCAGGGAAGTACTACCGTCCTGCCAGATGACTGTGAAACAAAAACCTGTAACTGTTTTGCATGATGGTAGGATTGCTGGTTTTCTTTTTCTGTCTCATAAACACGCTAGATAACAGGATATCTGCTAAATCCTACTTACACTTTGGTCACACTTCACAGACACGCACATGCATATATATATATACATACATCTAGGTTTTTCTCCTTATTCTAAATAGCTCTTGTTCTTTTTTATTTCTTCTATTTCCATGGGGAAGTGGAAAAGAATCTTTCCTCCGTAAGCCAATGCGTGTCGTATGAGGCGACTAAAAATGCCGGAGCAATGGGCTAGTAACCCTTCTCCTGTATACATTTACTAAAAAAGAGAAGAAGAAAAACTTTATAAAACTGGGTTGTTTAAATGTGCGTGGATGTAGTGCGGATGACAAGAAACAGATGATTGCTGATGTTAGAATGAAAAGAAGTTGGATGTCCTGCTCTAAGCGAAACAAAGCTGAAGGGGGTAGGAGAGTTTCAGTGGGGGGAAATAAATGGATTAAATCTGGAGTATCTGAGAGAGTTAGAGCAAAGGAAGGGGTAGCAGTAATGTTAAATGATCAGTTATGGAAGGAGAAAAGAGAATAAATGTGTAAATTCGAGAATTATGTGGATTAAAGTAAAAGGTTTGGATGCGAGAAGTGGGTCATAATAAGCGTGTATGCACCTGGAGAAGAGAGGAATGCAGAGGAGAGAGAGAGATTTTGGGAGATGTTAAGTGAATGTATAGGAGCCTTTGAACCAAGTGAGAGAGTAATTGTGGTAGGGGACCTGAATGCTAAAAGTAGGAGAAACTTTTAGAGAGGGTGTGGTAGGTAAGTTTGGGTGCCAGGTGTAAATGATAATGGGAGCCCTTTGATTGAACTTTGTATAGAAAGGGGTTTAGTTATAGTAATACATATTTTAAGAAAAAGAGGATAAATAAGTATACACGATATGATGTAGGGCGAAATGACAGTAGTTTGTTGGATTATGTATTAGTAGATAAAAGACTGTTGAGTAGACTTCAGGATGTACATGTTTATCGAGGGGCCACAAATATATCAGATCACTTTCTAGTTGTAGCTACACTGAGAGTAAAAGGTAGATGGGATACAAGGAGAATAGAAGCATCAGGGAAGAGAGAGGTGAAGGTTTATAAACTAAAAGAGGAGGCAGTTAGGGTAAGATATAAACAGCTATTGGAGGATAGATGGGCTAATGAGAGCATAGGCAATGGGGTCGAAGAGGAATGGGGTAGGTTTAAAATGTAGTGTTAGAGTGTTCAGCAAAAGTTTGTGGGTTTCAGGAAAGTGGGTGCAGGAGGGAAGAGGAGCGATTGGTGGAATGATGATGTAAAGAGAGTAGTAAGGGAGAAAAAGTTAGCATATGAGAAGTTTTTACAAAGTAGAAGTGATGCAAGGAGGAAGAGTATATGGAGAAAAAGAGAGGGGTTAAGAGAGTGGTGAAGCAATGTAAAAAGAGAGCAAATGAGAGAGTGGGTGAGCTGTTATCAACAAATTTTGTTGAAAATAAGAAAAAGTTTTGGAGTGAGATTAACAAGTTAAGGAAGCCTAGAGAACAAATGGATTTTGTCAGTTAAAAATAGGAGAGGAGAGTTATTAAATGGAGAGTAGAGGTTTGGGAAGATGGAGGGAATATTTTGAGGAATTGTTAAATGTTGATGAAAGATAGGGAAGCTGTGATTTCGTGATAGGGCAAGGAGGAAATAACAATCTTGTAGGAGTGAGGAAGAGCCAGTTGTGAGTGTGGGGGAAGTTCGTGAGGCAGTAGGTAAAATGAAAGGGGGTAAGGCAGCCGGGATTGATGGGATAAAGATAGAAATGTTAAAAGCAGGTGGGGATATAGTTTTGGAGTGGTTGGTGCAATTATTTTAATAAATGTATGGAAGAGGGTAAGGTACCTAGGATTGGCAGAGAGCATGCATGTTCCTTTGTATAAAGGCAAAGGGATAAAAGAGAGTGCAAAAATTATAGGGGATAAGTCTGTTGAGTGTACCTGGTAAAGTGTATGGTAGAGTTATAATTGAAAGAATTAAGAGTAAGACGGAGAATAGGATAGCAGATGAACAAGGAGGCTTTAGGAAAGGTAGGGGTGTGTGGACCAGGTGTTTACAGTGAAACATATAAGTGAACAGTATTTAGATAAGGCTAAAGAGGTCTTTGTGGCATTTATGGATTTGGAAAAGGCGTATGACAGGGTGGATAGGGGGCCAATGTGGCAGATGTTGCAAGTGTATGTGTAGGAGGTAGGTTACTGAAAGCAGTGAAGAGTTTTTACGAGGATAGTGAGGCTCAAGTTAGAGTATGTAGAAAAGAGGGAAATTTTTTCCCAGTAAAAGTAGGCCTTAGACAAGGATGTGTGATGTCACCGTGGTTTGTTTAATATATTTATAGATGGGGTTGTAAGAGAAGTAAATGCGAGGTCTTGGCAAGAGGCGTGGAGTTAAAGATAAAGAATCACACACAGGGTGGGAGTTGTCACAGCTGCTCTTTGCTGATGACACTGTGCTCTTGGGAGATTCTGAAGAGAAGCTACAGAGATTGGTGGATGAATTTGTAGGGTGTGCAAAAGAAGAAAATTAAAGGTGAATACAGGAAAGAGTAAGGTTATGAGGATAACAAAAAGATTAGGTGATGAAAGATTGAATAAGTTTGGGGGGAGAGATTAGGAGGAGGGAACGTTTTCAGATTTTTGGGAGGGACGTGTCAGCGGATGGGTCTAGAAAGATGAGGTGAATCATGAATTGATGAGGAAAAAGAGGGGGGTTTGTGCACTTAGGAGTTGGGGAGACAGAGAATTTGTCCGGGGAGGAAAGGGGGAAATGTAGAGAGTATAGTTTTCCCAAGCTCTTTATGGGTGTGAGCATTGATGAAGTTCAGCGAGGAAAGGCGGAGGCAGGGGAGTGTCATGCGGGGCAATGTTGGTTGAATATAGTGCAGGAATTTTTGTAGTTTGGAAGTTGGGGGGGTGGGGATTACCAAAACTGTTGCCCAGAGGGTGGGAAGGGTTGTTGAGGTGGTTGGACATGTAAGAGAAGGAGCGAAACAGAATAATTTAAGGTGTATCAGTCTGTAGTGGAAGGAAGGCGGGGTGGGGCGGCCGGAAGGGTTGGGGGGGGGGGAAAAGGAGGTTTTGTGTGCGGGGGTTGGACTTCCAGCAGGCATGCTGGCGTTTTGATAGGATGAAGGAGACAAATGGTTTTTTAATATTTGATGTGTTGGAAAGTGTGAGCAAAGAAAATTTTATGAAGGGATTCGGGGAAACCGGCAGGCCGGACTTGATCCGGGGGGGGAAATACAGTGCCTCCCACCTAAAGGGGGGGTTTTTAATGTTGATTTTAAAAAAAACTGAAATGTAAAGCCCCCTTCTGGCAAGCAGTGATTGGTGAATATGGTGAAAGTTTTTTCTTTTTCGGGCCCCCCTGCCTTGGTGGGGAAAACGGGCCCGGTTTGATAAAAAAAAAATAATAGAACAAAAAAGAAGAAAACCCAGAGGGGTGTGTGTTATATTGCTTGTAATGCATTTTATGTGACCTAAGGAAGTAGAAGTACAAGACATCCTGAAAACTTGCATGTTTTTGAGAAAAAAAAAACCGCAAACTACCATCATGTAAAACAATTACAGGTTTTCATTTTAACCCCACTTGGCGGACGGGAGTACCTCCCTGGGCGGTTGCTGTTAAAAACCTACTACCTGGTTACATTTTTAAAGTTTGTAAAATAAAGAGTTTTTTTTTTTTTGTTATTATAGCTTACCGTGAGCTTGCCTTATTGGCTTAATGGGAAAATTGTTGCATCTCACCAAGCCCACCAGACATGATGTATGTTCTCAAGACTCGGACTCATCAATGTTGCATATTTTAAATTCAACATGGGTGTGCCCCCGGTTTGTATGCAAAATTTTGATTTTATGCATTCTTTTCATACTAGTTTGACCATACTTTGTCTTGACATAGTATAGTTTACAGTTGCTCTTAAAAATAGTACAGTATAATTGATTTTACTAAACAAATACTAATTTTATATTCTCAGGTGAAATGGATGGAAACCGTCCAGTACCATTTAGACTGACACCAAACCTGGCTGAGCTTGTTACCAGTATTGGGGTATGGGGACCATTTACTGCATCAATGGTGGCGACTGCTCGTTGTTTAGCTACTCCTTCTTTTAAAGTCAATGCCCTTCTTCGAGCCATTATGCGAGATGAAATAATATCATGGCACAAGGTAAGTTTGGGCTTTGACATTTTTAAAAGGTTCATCATGAAAATTTTTTCAACAGATGTCCACATTTTAAAAATGTTTCTTTATCAAAATAATTTTTCTATCTTGATCGAAAGGTGTTCTGTGCAGACATCAACCATACTCCACTTGCAATTGTGGTACAGTTATATGTATGACTTTACTGGAAAACTGTAGAATAAAGATGCAGATGCAAAACTTATATTTTATTTAGAGACATTTTATCCACTGCAGGCTTTGTCTAATACAGAGAACAGAAAAACCCAGAATATATAGAAGACAGGTGAACTAGGTATGGTCAGGTGAGATGCTTGAGCATGCACCATTTGCTTGTGTAGTATGTGGCACAGTACAATCAGCTTAGAGACATTACTGAGATGCTAAAACTGCCTGAGTTTTGAGCTACAATGTCAGAAACTGTGATCAAGACAGCCCTGAGACAATATTTCTGCAATTGTCCTCTTTCATGACCAATTTTAAGCTACTTCCGGTCTGAAACCAACCAAAATAATCTCTATTTCAATAATATGTCTTGCATTCTATCAAATAACAAGAAACAGCCAATAAAAACCATAAAATCTATCCAATAAAACACCTCAGAGTCACTATTTAATCATTACACACAGTAGTTTTGCTTTTCCCATTGTGCACAGCATGGGGGCAGGATTTTTTTTATACTGTGCACACATTGCACAGACCCATTTTCTTATCTAGGTCAAAATTTACTGCTCACAGCTTAGATATCCAAGCAAGCTGAGTTCATGATGTAGAACTATGTGAGGGGCCCTGGCCTCAATGACGTAGTTCTACATGATGGCCACTGAAAGGTTTCAAGAACACCATTTTTAATGTGTACACATGCACATGTATAGGCAGACTTCTAAAGTGATGCATGTATGGTATATGCAGTTAATGTATTTCAATACAGCTGTGAACTAACCCTTCATTGAAGCAGTTCTCTTCTATATTCCGGCAGCAGCGTCATGAGGGAAACACTGTGGAAGGTACTCAAGGGTCTGGTCCCATGGAGGGTGAGGCTCTCATTACTCGAGTAAACAAAGCTGTAACTGCAATTGCTACACGTATTCAGTCTCTTGCATCCAGTGATGGTGCAGACAGCAAGGTAAGAATATATTTATAAAGCATATAACTGGTACATTACAGTACTTAGAATTTTAAAATAGGTTCTCTATAGCTAGTGGAACCCCAAATATCGGCCGTAATCAATTCCAGAAGGTCGGCCTAAATTTGAAAAGGCCTAAATTAGAAGCAATATTTCCCATAAGAATTAATGTAAATACAGTTAATCCATTCCAGACACCCAAAAATATTAACAAAAAATACATTTTTTAACCCTTTGAGGGTTTTGGTCGTACTAGTACGTCTTACGCGTAGGGGTTTTTGACGTACTAGTACGCATAAATTCTAGCGGCCTCAAATCTAGTGGGAGAAAGCTGGTAGGCCTTCATATGAAAGAATGGGTCTATGTGGTCAGTGTGCACAGTCTAAAAAAAATCCTGCAGCACACAGTGCATAATGAGAAAAAAAAAACTTTGACCATTTTTTTGGAATAAATCAGCGACTTTGCAGTGTATTTTCGTATGGTATTTATTGTTGTATTCTAGTTTTCTTGGTCTCATTTTATAAAGGAAGACATATTACAGAAATTGAGATGATTTTGACTGGTTTTACAATGAAAGGTGCCTTGAAATTGAGCTCAAAGTAGCAGAAATGTTCGATTTTTACCAAACTTCAAAAGTAAACAAATCGTGCCAAGCGTGCAATACACGTCAACTGGTGAGTCTAATATTCTTTCACAAGTGCACCAATAATATTTATACCATTTTTTACACTAATGCAGTAGTCTGCATAACAGTAAATCTTATATTTTTTGTGAGAATAAAAATTCAAAGTGGAAAGCAAAAGAATATAAGAGGGGCCTTGAGACGTGACTAATGACTAGAGGAAATGTCATTTTAGTGCCAGGAATGTCTTTCTTGTTTATTCTGGACCCTATTCGGAAATTGGCATCTTTTGAAATTTGTGTGAAATTGGCAAAATTGCTAAATTCTGACCACTGTACTGGATAGTTGAATTTCATAAATGGGTGGTTTCTTGCACCCATTCGATAGAAAAAATGGAGTTCTAGCGAAATATTCATGTTTTTTGTCGACTAGTACAGTGAAATTGGCCGAAAATGGGGCTCAAAGTGGGCAAAATCGCCGATGCGTAAACATCGCCGAGACCACTAACTTTGCGAGAGCATAATTCCGTAAGTTTTCTATCAAATTTCAAACTTTTGGTGTCTTTATGATCGGGAAAAGATTCTCTATCTTTTCATAAGAGAAAATAATTTTTTTTTTTTAAATTTGGCCGACCCTGAGAACGAGTTTTGGAGAGGGCCTGTCGACCCTCAAAGGGTTAAAGATTAATTATAGTTTTATATACACAAAGCAATGAGAACTAAATAAAATAAATAAATGAACATTTAAATCATTATTACATACCTTTATTGAAGACTCTTGTTGGCATATGGAAGACAAGGAGAAGGAGGAGGACTGATTATTATTTGAAAGAAAGAATCCCCCTCCATAAAGACTTCAGGTATCAAAGCCCTCTCTGGGGTTACTTCCCTCCCTGCATGCCTGATACACTCCCTGCCTCCTTTCCACACTCCCTGATTCCCTGCTACACTCCTTCCCTCCATGCTACACCCCATGCCTCTCTCCACATCTTCCTTTGTGATCTCTTCTTCGTTAACATGTTTACCCCTTTCGCCACATCAGCTTCCTTGATTTGTTCTTTCTTTGCCGGGATAGAAGTGATTGTTGATTTGTTTTTGCCATACATCCTGGCAATCTGGAGCACACGCACATCACTCTCACATTTTTCTACAATTTCTTCAATTCTCTCATGTTTCTTACTTTCTTTACCAAAGGGATGGCACTAGGAACTTTCTTTGGGCCCATGGTGGCTTATTTCACAGTCACACTTAATTAACAAGCACAAAAACCAATGAATTTTAAGGAAATGTTTGGACGAATGCACGGAGTATATGTTCATTCTCCGATAGACATAGGGAGACTGACCTACGCGCGGTGTCCCGGCGGGAGGCGGGCTGATGCATCTAATACAGCCGATTTGCAAGGCACCAGCCAAAATACGGAGCAAAATTTCTGCCCAAAAACCGGCCTAAATACAATTCTGCCAATAAATGCAGCAGCTGATGTTCGGGGTTCCATTGTATGTCATTTATTAGAACAATTAAAGCCCTACTATCACTATAATACTATAATTCATGTTGAGTAAGTCAGGTTGATAACTTAATGTTTAGAACAATAGATGTGTCTCCCTTTTACCCATTTCTCCACATGGTATCTGGGCATGAAGAGCGTACATATTTGATTCATAAATGAGTGTAGGTTCCCAAACCCAGCAGTGGTGAGAAGCAGGTCAGGACCCTAATTGTGGTTTGATAAAAAAAAAAACAATATGTTCTGACTCACCAACATTATTGCCAATGGTTGTGGAAAAAATACTAGAAAATAAGAAAAAGGAACACCCCCCATAAGGAATTAGCGGTGCCTGAAGAGTTGACTGAGAAGCTGAATCAGCATGTTTGTTGCCTTGAACATTGCCATGTCCAGGGACTGTAACGTTTACTACGCAAATATAGGTCATTAGATTAATTTGGTTTGCTGTAGCCTTATGTATACCCATGGGATCTTAGCCATTTTTTTTCATTATTTACTATTTGCCTAATTTTGTTTTTTTCCAGGTAACTCAGCTAGTACGTGCAGTGAATTGTGTGGACAATCTGTGTCGTATGGACCCAGCGTGGCACCCATGGTTGTAAATAATAAAATTATTACATTAAAGGGAGATGAGGAAGCTAAACCCAAACGGGGTCATATTGCATCTGAGGGAATAGATAGCATTTACGTTTGATTCAAGGAGAAGGCAGGCCCAATTCCTTGGATCAGAAGCCCTAATTAACATCAAGACACTTCCCTCGAGGGATGTAAATAATCAAAGCAGTTATATTCAGGTTATATTACTTTGTCAGATAATGAAATTTTCATGGATCTGCAATAGTCCGGTATATTTACAAAAGGAATTTCAACTATATTTAGTAGGGAAAATGTATAGCCTGAAAAATATGTAAATATGTATATAACCAGTGTTTAACAGTATGTGTAGTTATTTAACTGTGTTCAGTCATGTCCATGAAAGAAATGTATGTATTGTACAGTATTTTTAGGGAGCAACCCAACAAAAGTTTTACAACTCTATTTATTTAAAAATAATAATCTTGGAGAGGTTTTTAACTTCTGTCAGAAATATAATTGATATTGAAGTTCCATAAAGAGTTTTATATTTAACAGGTGTAATAAATGCTTTACCCCTTAATGAATATTTCTGGACCCTGCTGTCATCAGCCTTATGGACACTGGTATCAAATACTAATATTACATTTTATACCTGTAATTCTGAAATGCAGTGGTTTTTAAATTCACTGCATAATTCCTACAGATTTAGCACACGTTTGATAAAAATTGCATTTATGGAGGGTGGATTCTAGATCTGTAAGGAGTCAGAGTAGCTGGGGGAATGAAACACAATCAGTTTCAGCCCAAGAAAGGGGTCAGCTCCAATTTGCTGGATCAAGAGCCCCTCACTGGCATCAAGAAACCAAGGTAGTACATAATTAAAGAGATTTTTAATACATATTGTTTAGGTATCCTCTACATAGTTCAAGCTTTATGCTTATGATCACCTTAAAGAGGGGTCTCTGGATCAGAGGAGCTGAACTTCTTGTCTCCTTTGGATCAATTTTAGTACCCTCCAACCCTTCCCCTCTATTTGGCCTTACTAGCAGGGCATTTTCCTATTTGTGAAATAAGTGTTAAATATTTGGGAGTGGCTGTGGCAACAGAGAGGTCCATGAAAGACAAGGTGAACCACAATGGACTAGGAAAAAGAAAAGATATATGGACTTCCAGCAGTGTGCATGAGTGTGTTCGGAGTGAATGGAGATGAATCGTTTTTTGGGACCTGACGAGATGTTGGAGTGTGAGCAGGGTAATACTTTGTGAAGGGATTCAGTGAAATCAATTAGCCGGACTAGAGTCCTGGAAATGGGAAGTACGATGCCTGCACTTTTTAAAGGAGGGGTTTGGGATATTGGCAGTCTGGAGAGATCTAAACTGTCGTATCTGAGCATCTCTCCAAAGACAGTGATTATGTATAAGTGATAGTGAAAGTGTTGCATGAAGTTTTTTTTTTTTCTTTGTTTTTGGGTCACCCTGCCTCTGTGGGAAATGGCTGACATGTTAAAAAAAAAAAATGGAGTGTAGATGTATCTTTGGAAAAATGGGAATAAACCAGACTGAAGTGTTCCCAACACTTAGGTGGGTGTGAGACATCATCTTTAAACTTTGCAACAAGGAGGCTGGAAGGAGTGGAGATATTGTTTGCATGCAATGCTTGGTGAGAATTCGAAATGCATAAATTAGAAAACTACATGGGGTTATAAAAGGCGATTCAGAGGGTGGAAGTAGGGTTACTGAGGTGGTTTGTTATTTAGAAAGGTTAGGATGACTATAAGAGTACAAGTCTGAGGTGGAAGGAAGGGTAGGGCTCCTCCCAGTAGGAAATGATGGATACAAAGGTTTTAATTAGTAGGGTCTTGAGCATCCAGCAGATGTGTGTTGTTATAATCAGGGAAGTGCTAAACCTGTAGGGGTCATGTAGTGCATGGAGATCATTATTATATTTACAAAAATGTGCTCAACCTGTACGGGTCAAAGCCCCAAAAGGTTGAGTGAGGAGTGCATGGGAATGGAAGACAATCAGACTTGATCCAAGGAGGGAAGACTAGGTTCACTTCCTTGGACCAAGGATCCTTACCAGCATCAAGGGACTTTGTTAGGCAAGACACATGCAACAGTTAGGTATCTATTTCAAAACGTTTCGCCTACAGAGTAGGCTTCTTCAGTTGAGTACAGAAAAGTTGATAGAAGCAGAAGAGACTTGAAGACGATGTAATCAGTCCATCACCCTTGAAGTTTTGAGGTGGTCAGTCCCTCAGTCTGGAGAGGAGTATTGTTCCATAGTCTGAAACAATATGGAGTTGAAGTGACAGGATGGAGCCTTATATAACGCCAGGAGGCGAGATGTAGGTCACTAGTACAGTGGTCCCTCGTTTTTTGTAATTAATCCGTTCCTGGAGGAGCTACTATAAACGAAATTTACGATTTGCGAATCAATTTTCCCCATAAGAAATAATGTAAATACAATTAATCAGTTCCTGACACCCAGAAGTATTAAAACAAAAAAATTTTTTACATGAAATATACATGTAGTACATAAACAATACAATGGGAAATGATGAATGAAACATTAACAGCATAACACTTACCTTTATTGGAGATTTTTCTTAGTGTATGGGAGACTGGAGGAGGAGAGAGAGATTGGATTGTTTACAGTTTGGAAGGGGAATCCCCTTCCAGCAACACCTCAGGTACCAATTGCTTCTCTGGGGTTGCTTTTCTTCTCTGTTTCTTAATGCCACTAGGACCACTCTAGTCCTGTCTCGCTAAGTAACTGTGGAGAGAGCTCTGTTTCTGGCGCCTCTTTAACACTTCCCTAAAATGGCCCAAGACTTTGTCATTGTACATATTTCTCACCTTCTTTACCACAGGCTTGGCACTAGGAGCTTTCTTTGGAGCCATGGTAGCTTATTTAGTACTTGCAAGCACTAAAATGAGTGGAATATTATGAAATATTTTGTAGGAGCACTTGAGGGGACCTTCACTCATTGGTAAACAATGCCAGACTGGCTGGGTAGGGAGGCTGCCTTGGCTCACACCGTGCATACGCGTCCCGGACGAACTACTATTCGCGAGTCAACCTATGAAGAGCGAGTCCATGTTTATACGAAAATACCCCTATGATTGGCGAAATTTACGATTGCCGAGAACTACGAAAAGTGAGGGACCACTGTATTATTATTATAATCATGGGAGCGCTAAACCCATAGGATTATACAGCGCATGTTGGGGGATGGAAGGTATTCAGGCTCAATTCAGGGAACTGGAGCACAGATCCAATTCCCTAGATCAAGAGCCCCTCACCAGCATCAAGGAACCTCCCTTGAGGGGAGGTCACTAGTAGAGATAAGAATGTAGTCATTGGGAGACCAGATCCCTCTCAAATCCAGCCACTCTCACTAGTAGAAGTTGTCCAAGTTGATTTCAGGTCTGTACCAAGATACCCTTGTATTGCAGTGTCTGACAGACTGAACATTAAAATGGTATAAAATACTGACAGGTTGTTAGGTAAAATACATATGCAACAGTTAGGTATCTTTATTTTGAAACATTTGCCTACACAGTAGGCTTCTATATAAGGCTCCATCCTGTCACCTCAACTCCATATTGTTTCAGACTATTGAACAATACTCCTCTCCAGACTGAGGGACTGACCACCTCAAAACTTCAAGGGTGATGGACTGATTACATCGTCTTCAAGTCTCTGCTTCTATCAACTTTTCTGTACTCGACTGAAGAAGCCTACTGTGTAGGCAAAACTTTTCGAAATAAAGATACCTAACTGTTGCATACGTGTCTTACCTAACAACCTGTCGGTATTTTATACCATTTTAATGTTCATCGAGGGACTGTTTGAAAAGTATGAACATGTTATACTGGACTGAGTGAAGATAGGTGGTATTATGGATGCGACATGCTGGTGGACTGTGAATAAAATAACAAAGGGATTCTGGGAAATCTGTTAGCCAGACTCAAGTTCTGTAGGTAGCAATAATGTCTGTAGTCTGAGGGGCTCAGTGCTGTATGACCCTTTGTGGGTTTAGCACTTAGTTTTGATTAAAAATAATGATGTTGCAGTTTCTAAGGCCATTTGAATTATAATATTCAGTGCAGGTCTGGCAAGACAGCTACTGAATGAACGATAGTGTATGCATTTCCTATTTAGGTCACTAGCTTGGTGGGAGGCACCTACTGTGGCAAAATAAAAAATGAAAAATAATAAGACCTGATAGTAACTGCTTTTTCCTTAATTACTTTTATTTCCCCAGTCCCAGGTCCACAACATATGCCCCTCATTATTATGATGATGTTTGATCAAAGAGGAAAGTAACACTAATTCCTTGAATTAAGAGCCCTTCATGAACACTACCTTAAAGGGAATGTATGAAGAGTAGTGACATTGTGGAGTGTTGGTATGTTGTAGAGTATGGTGGCATGTTCAGAATGATAGTAGCCTATTTTGGGTGTTAGTGGCAGGTTGTGGAGGATGGTGGCATATTACGTATGGTAGTATGGTATGTTGTGGATGGTTGTGGCATGTTGTGTATGGTAGTATGCTGCTGAGTGTGGCGATGTTATGGAGAGTTGTAGTATGTCTAGAAAGTTATGGTAGCATGTTGTAGAGGGTGGTGGCTTGTGTACAGTGGTAGTATGTCATGGAGGGTGCTGGCATGTGAATAATAATGGTATGTTTACAGTGGTAATACATTATGAATGGTGGTATAGCATGTTGTGGTGGGGGAGTGGTATTTTGTGGAGGATGGTAGTAGCATGTCTTGTACTTTGGTAGTATGTTGTGAAGAGTGGTGGCATGTTGTGTACAATGGTAGCATATTCTGCATGGGGGAGAGTGGCAGAGATGTTGAGGAGAGGACAATGATAAAATAGGCTGAGATGGGTCATAGTTGTAGCAGAGTGCAGGCAAAAAGGACATACAAAATTTTATTTTGCTGAAAATAATTAGCAATTATGGCTACATATATCAAGCCCTTCATGTGATGAGGGGCTCTTGCTCTGAGGAATTAGACCTTTTGTCTCCTTCCTTGGATCGAATCTAATTACCCTCCATCCCTCCCATCCTATCCTATTCATTTAGCCTTTTGGGATGTTTCCCCTGTAAATTACAATCCAATATGTTGAGTTAGATATTTCTGCAGGACTTTAGAAAAATAAGCACAGAAATACTGTATGTAAGATTTTGGAAGACTTGGTTGACTAAAAGGTAGGGACTAATGCACTCTTGCAAAAAGTTGCACAATGAGTAAAGTATATTCTAATAAACAATTTAGACATGACTACAATTTCTTGAGGTAGTGTGGGAGTTTATCAGCAGCACATCTGAATCCAAGGTTACCAGCAGAGCTATCTGGGGTGTTTTGACTTCTCGCAGCACATCGATACCTGTATGGTAGAAAGAGAATTTTTTAAGTTAATTGATCTGATTAAATTCCTCTTAAACTGTTCTATTGCAACCAGCAAGCTCACACTAATAGTTCAATGATAAAAGCAATTGACTCACAACTGCAAGATCCTGGATCTGATCCCCCAGAAAACTGAGGTGTATGGGCAAGTTTTCTGCTGCCTCTGATCAACAAGTAGCAAATAGGTGTGGTAAGCTTACGATTTAATGGACTAATAGGGAGGAGTGGGTGGCCGGTGATAGTATTTGTGGTGGATGGAGATAAGATTGTTTTGTTGCGATCATAATAGTAATGGACAATCCTATAACAGACTTTGTCCATTGTTTCTGATACAACTGAACCAGAAAACTGTGACCCACATCCTAGGGAAGAGAACCGAAGGACCCCAACAGGAATAAACCAAACTGCTCGTTTCCTTGGGTTATCCCAGTCCCAGGTTAATAATACTCTGGGAAAAATAACCCAAAGAAAGTCTTTACTATGTATAATACATAATATACAGTAGACACCGATAATTTGAGCATTTTTTTTTTTTTAACACATAGCCGTTTCCCACCAAGGCAGGGTGGCCTGAAAAAGAAAAACTTTCATCATTCACTCCATCATTGTCTTGCCAGAGGCATGCTTACACTACAGTTATAAAACTGCAACTGCAGGTTACGTTTCTGAAAACATTGTTGATGATTTTCACGACTTATGGACTGAAAAATGTGTGAAAAATAACACTACATTTCTCAGACTGCCAAATAACCCCTCAAAATGTTTTTTATTATCACTGTTCTTAACCCTTAAACTGTCCACACGTAGATATACGTTCACGTGCGGTGGGCTCCAAATATAGATCAACGTTTTATTTTTCATTCCTTCAAATTTGGTGCAATAGGCCTGCATCGCCTAGATATGAAAGAATGGGTCTGTGCACTGTGTGTGCACTATGAAAAAATCTGGGAGCATTTAGTACCCTGTGGGAGTACCAGTTCAACTGAGCATCAGCTAGAGCAAATAGCATGGCAAATACCAGTGATTCACTGATGTTATGTCATATTAACACACATTTTAAGAGGAAAGTAAAAATAGGTTAGATAAATGCATGAGTGGGTGTGAGCTGGACCTGACTAGCTTGTGCTACTGGGTCAAATGTCATGCTCTTTCTTTCAGTGGATGTGACCTGACTAGGTGGGTCATTGGTCTAAGCTGGGGGTGACATGGACCTGCTTGCATGGGCCAGTAGGCCTGATGCAGTGTTCCTTCTTTCTTATGTTCTTATGTATTCGGCTGGCTAGCTGGCTGGCTTTGGCTGTATCTGTCTGTATCTGTCTATATCTCTATCTATATCTCTGTCTGTATCTCTGTATCTATCTATATCTCTGTCTATTTATATGTCTGTCTATATCACTGTCTATTTGTATATGTCTATATCTCTGTCTTTCACATGTACTCATATATACAATTATACATAATGTAAATTACCTAGGATAACCCAAAAATTCCAGGCCAAGTGCTATACAGTGTTTGTAGATATAAGACATAAATAAACATGACGCAAGTAATAGTGTCACTTGCTCAGCAATCAGGGAGCGGCCCATACACCACAAACCAACAGGTTTACTAGCTGCTCCCTGAGACAGAGACAAGAAGATGGAAAGAGACACACACAGGCAGACAGAAAGGCATATAAGCAGAACTAGGCAGACAGATAGACAGACTGACAGACATACAGAGACATGTTTGTGTGCAAGAGTAAAAACATGTAAAGGCAAGGCTCCCCTCCAGCAGCACATTCATCAAATGTCACTTGCTGTCTGACGCTTGCCATAACACTATTATTCAAGGAGTTCATATTATACTCCAGACACACACAGAAAGCAGAAAGACAGATAAGCAGAGCTAGGCAGACAGACAGATGTACAGATAGACAGGCAGACAGACTGACAGACATACAAAGACATGTCTGTGTGCAAGAGTAAAAACATATAAAGGCAAGGTCCCCTCCAGCAGTTCACATTCTGACCTTTGTCATAACACCATGCTTCAAGGAGTTTCATACTCCAGCATGTCTAAAACATTGCTGGGACCTATAAACACTTTGTATATATTTCTAGACAATAGTAAATGACCAGGGCAGGTGTAAATGTTCACCTGTCAGGTAAATTGGCAACACTTCTGTAAGCAGCAAGATTGGATGTTGCCATCAGGTGAGCATCCAGAGCCAACTTCACAGTCTTATATCTCAGTAAGTACTGGTCCTAATTTTTTTTTTTTTTTTGGGTCTTATACCACACAGAAAATAGCCCTCTTTAACCCTTTGAACATTTTGGTCATATATACAGTATACGTCTTACGAGCCACTGTGTTTGACGTATATATACTCGTAAATTCTAGCAGCTTCAAATCAAGCAGGAGAAAGCTGGTAGACCCACATGTGAGAAAATGGATCTGTGTGGTCAGTGTGCACCATATAAAAAAATCCTGCAGCACGCAGTGCATAATGAGAAAAAAAAAAACTCCAACCGTTTTTTTTTAATTAAAATGCCAATTTTGTGGTCTATTTTCGTATAGTATTTATGGTTGTATTCTTGTTTTCTTGGTCTCATTTGATAGAATGAAAAACATATTATAGAAATAGAGGTGATTTTGGTTTTACTATGAAACGAACCTTGAAATGGAGCTCAAAGTAGGGGAAATGTTCGATTTTTACCAATGTTCACGAGTAAGCAAATCACATCACATGTTCAATACACGTCAACTGGGGAGTTGAATATTCTTTCACTAGTGCACTGATATTATTTATACTATTTTTACAATAATGCTGTAGTCTGCATAACAGTAAATCTTCTGGAGTTTTGTGTGAATAAAAATTAATTTGCAGTCATGAATGGGTTGACATTATTTATACAATTATTACAGTAATGCAATAGTCTGCATAACAGTAAATCTTCTATTTTTTGTGTGAATAAAAATTCAAAATAGAAAGCAAGAGTAATATCAGAGGGGCCTGGAGACGTGACTGATGAACAAAGAAAATGTTATTTTAGAGCCAGGAATGTCTGCATTGTTCATTCTGGACCCTATTTTGAAATTGTCATATTTTTTAATTTTTGTGAAATTGGGCAAATTGCAAATTTCTGACCACGTTATTGGGTAGTTGAAATCGGTAAATGGGCAGTTTCTTGTACTCAATCGATAGAAAAAATGGAGTTCTAAAGAAATAGCTATCAGTTTGGTCGACCTGAACAATGGAATTAGCCAAAAATAGGGCTCAAAGTGGGCGAAATCGTCAATTCGTAAATATCGCTGAGGTCGCTAACTTCGCGAGAGCGTAATTCCATCAGTTTTCCATCAAATTTCGTTCTTTTGGTGTCATTACAATCAGGAAAAGATTCTCTATCATTTCGTAAGAAAAAATAATTTTTTTTTTTTTTAAATTTTGCGACATCATGTGAGGTTGCGACAGTCAAGGGGTTAACCCTTTTAGGGTCGACAGGCCCTCTCCCAGACTTGTTCTCAGAATCGCCAAATTTTCAAAAAAAAAAAATATATTTTTTTCTTATAAAAAGATAAGAGAATCTTTTCCCGATCATAATGACACCAAAAGTATGAAATCTGATGGAAAACTTATGGAATTATGCTCTCGCGAAGTTAGCGGTCTCAATGATGTTTACGCATCAGCGATTTTGCCCACTTTGAGCCCTATTTTCAGCCAATTCCAGTGTACTAGTCGACAAAAATCATAACTATTTCGCTAGAACTCCATTTTTTTCTATCGAATGAGTAAAAGAAACCACCCATTTACTAATTTCAACTATCCAATAAAGTGGTCAGAATCTAGCAGGATTGCCAATTTCACACAAATTTCAAAAGATGCCAATTTCCAAATAGGGTCCAGAATAAACAAGACATTACTGGCACTAAAATAACATTTCTTCTGTTCATTAGTCACGCCCCCACGCCCCTCTTTCATTCTTTTGCTTTCCACTTTGAATTTTTATTCTCACAAAAAATAGAAGATTTACTGTTATGCAGACTAATGCATTAGTGTAGAAATGGTATAAATAATATCAGCTCACTTGTGAAAGGATATTAAACTCACCAGTTGACGTGTATTGGATGCGTAGCATGATTTGTTTACTTTTGAACTTTGGCAAAAATTGAAGATTTCTGCTACTTTGAGCTCAATTTCAAGGTGCTTTTCATTGTAAAACCAATCAAAATCGTCTCCATTTCTGTAATATGTCTTCTATTCTATAAAATGAGACCAGGAAAACTAGAATACCATCATAAATACCATACGAAAATACAGTGCAAAGTCGCTGTTTTAAACCAAAAACACTGTCAAAGTTTTTTTTTCTCATTATGCACTGTGTGCTGCAGGATTTTTTTTATACTGCGCACACTGACCACATAGACCCATTCTTTCATATGTAGGCCTACCAGCTTTCTCTCACTAGATTTGAGGGTGCTAGAATTTAGGCGTACTAGTACGTCAAAAACCCTGGTGCGTAAGCCGTACTAGTACGTCGGAAACCCTGAAAGGGTCAATAGATAAGAAGACATTAGTGAAATGGAGATGATTTTGGTTTCGGACTAGAAGTGGCTTGAAAATAGCAGAAATATTTGTTTTCTGATGATATTCCTAAGTGTAGAGACCCCCCCCTTCCTCTAGTCTGTTTACTAGGTCTGCTTAACCTTTTCAGGGTCCAGAGGCCAAATTTCAAAGTGTGCACCAGGGTCCAAGAATTTTCAAAAAAAAGTTTTAATTTTTTCTTATGAAATGGTAGAGAATTTTTTTCTTAACGAAATTATGCTCTCGCGAATTTTGATGTGTCAGCGATATTTATGCTTCGGCAATTTTGCTGACCGGCTCCCATTTTAGGCCACTTACATTATTCCAGTCAACCAAATTCTTAGCTATTTCACTAGCATTACTTTTATTCTATCGATTGAGCACAAGAAATCGCCAAGTCAACTGTTTCAACTATAAAATA